TCCCGGTAGATTTTGGGGGGGGGGGTCCTCTAGGAAGCCGCTACTTTAAAAACACCAGCTGGAACCGCAACGGAGACTCTCGTTCGGATCAAAACGAGACATTTTTTCTAGTGGGAGACAAATCAAGGCTGTCTGGAGCTGTTATGTTCACGTTTTAATTACTCGGTGGGTGGTGACAGTGGTGTGCATGGTGTTTCATCAACCCATATTATACTCGTTGTGGCGACTTCCAGAGGCTGAAGTCATGCTTGTGTAGTTTTACTCATCCATTTCTGAAGTGGTCGGTCATCAAAACCACTTCGTTTGACCTAAGCACGAAGTTCAATAGCAGCGGTAGAGAACTACTTGCAAAATAGACCAGTTTCAATCGGTATTTCGCACTGGTCTTCCGAGGAAGGATGGGTGTACAATCATATCTAAAGAAACAAGCCTTTACCAGAGGTCACTCCTGACGAATCGTTTTGAATGGTCTTCCTAGGGCAAGGAAGTGTAGACCTCAGGGTTTGGCATGCGCTTCACGCCTGCGAAATTCAAAGTGCTGTCACATGACTGGGTGGAGCCGAACACAAACTTCGTGCTTGCATATGAGCCGATTGAGGTACCAGGTAACTCTTCTACTTGGTCAGCTCTATCAGTCCCGGTCATCTAACCCATCGCGATTTGGAAGGCCTGAATAGCTTTTGTGAACCTGCACTGTTTGATGCAGACGTGACATCAGCTTGTCAGTGTTCGAGTCTACTGCGCTAAGGCGCGATCCACATTGTTACATGGACCAGAACCCCGGTCGCTGAGATCTGTGGACGTAGGAGAACTTTTGGAATAAATAGCTTGACCGCGATAGATGAACTGATTTTATTCACACGGTCCGTATGCCAGTCGACAGGCCTTTTTGAACAACCACGCGAACGGTGGAAACGAGCCAGGGGAGGTCTAGCAATGACTTACAAAGAATCACGAGAGCCATTACCGGCAAACTTAGCTTCGCTGGTTATTTCCATTCTTTTGCATGGGTACCCCGAGACGGTACATATCAATGGTTAGAGGGATTGTCAGAGTTCACCCAGTTGCACACTTAACGGCATCTGCTGCCGCTGATGATGATGATAATGATGATGATGATGAAGAACTCGTGTAGACAGTTATTAAACGTGATCCGTTTCAATATCTGGTCTCCTCTGGAGACTACCTTACCATTCGAGGGAGTCACAAGACACCAACCAGAAGTAATCTCATATGAAAGGTAGGAGAATAGCGGCAAATGTCGATGGCCCAGATAGCAGAGATGGTCGTTGGTTTGTTCGCTGAGCTAGGAGAATTATAGTGGTTGTTTGTAACACAAGCGATAATCATGTTACGTCATTTTCAGTCACTTATGAATAATAATCATCCGTATACCTAGATGGTGTCAAAATACCTACCAGTCCAATGTATTAGTTTCACGAGATGGCTTTTGCTGGAATGATATTTTTCACCATCAAGACATTTGGAGTGGTCTTTTTTGGAAACTCGTCCATAAAGAAAACTTAACCTTTGAAACCAATCCCCCTTAAACAGATTGAAGTGTCCCAGTTTGAGCAAGGGCCCTTTCTTGGGAACTCTCATGGTGAGTGACTACTCTGCTTGGTTTGGTAACCATACCTGCTTATTGAAAAACGGCTCGGCTTTCTTACTCTCATATTTCAGAATTAGGAATCGGACCCTCTTTCATTATGGTTAAATTTTATTATTGATTTGGAGAAAGGACTTTCTACGAATTTGGATTCGTCGTGCAAGCTCCATTTGTTTATTCGTCACTTTCTCCACGCAACAAGCGGTGCCTTCATAAGGAGATGGAACTCTTCACGAGTAGATCGAGGCCGTGTTGCAAAATAGCTAGAACGCTGCGGGGGTGCGTCCGTCCTGTCTGTTGAACGCTGGTCGTTATGACCTCAGCTCTGAGGTTTCCAATAGCTCATTATCCCAGAAGTGACTATCTACCGCTATTCAACCCAGATGAGCCTCCGTTGCTGCTTTAAGGATGTGTTAAGCTTGTGTTGCCAGATACCCGTTTGATTTCTGACATAGTCAGTTCAATGCAGTCAATTAGATACATCTCTTCATCTGTCATTTTTCAACAGATTCCATTCGCGGCTGTTATTTATCGTTATCTCACTGATTGGATTGAGTAGAGCACGAAACGTCGTGTTTCAAAAACCCACTCTACAAACTCATAACCTTCCCCTGACAACTCAGCATGGTAGAATCCTGACTGGATCAATCGGCTGTAAAATATTGTTGGTAGAAAGTATTCCACAGAATCTGACCTACTCCCCTGATTCTCCCAAACATGCTTCAACTTTGTTCGCGTGGCAGGTTTTATTGGACCAAGTCACAAATACCTACCAGTCCAATGTATAAGTTTCACGAGATGGCTTTTGCTGGAATGATATTTTTCACCATCAAGACATTTGGAGTGGTCTTTTTTGGAAACTCGTCCATAAAAAAAACTTAACTTTTGAAACCAATCCCCCTTAAACAGATTGAAGTGTCCCAGTTTGAGCAAGGGCCCTTTCTTGGGAACTCTCATGGTGAGTGACTACTCTGCTTGGTTTGGTAACCATACCTGCTTATTGAAAAACGGCTCGGCTTTCTTACTCTCATATTTCAGAATTAGGAATTGGACCCTCTTTCATTATGGTGAAATTTTATTATTGATTTGGAGAAAGGACTTTCTACGAATTTGGATTCGTCGTGCAAGCTCCATTTGTTTATTCGTCACTTTCTCCACGCAACAAGCGGTGCCTTCATAAGGAGATGGAACTCTTCACGAGTAGATCGAGGCCGTGGTGCAAAATAGCTAGAACGCTGCGGGGTTGCGTCCGTCCTGTCTATTGAACGCTGGTCGTTATGATCTCAGCTCTGAGGTTTCCAATAGCTCATTATCCCAGAAGTGACTGTCTACCGCTATTCAACCCAGATGAGCCTCCGTTGCTGCTTTAAGGATATGTTAAGCTTGTGTTGCCAGATACCCGTTTGATTTCTGACATGGTCAGTTCAGTGCAGTCAATTAGATACATCTCTTCATCTGTCATTTTTCAACAGATTCCATTCGCGGCTGTTATTTATGGTTATCTCGCTGATTGGATTGAGTAGAGCACGAAACGTCGTGTTTCAAAAACCTACTCTGCAAACTCATAACCTTCCCCTGACAATTCAGCATGGTAGAATCCTGACTGGATCAATCGGCTGTAAAATATTGTTGGTAGAAAGTATTCCACAGAATCTGACCTACTCCCCTGATTCTCCCAAACATGCTTCAACTTTGTTCGCGTGGCAGGTTTTATTGGACCAAGTCACACAAAATTTGTCTCTAGCTTCCTTTTACTGGAGTCTGATTGCGGAACCACAGTTCAATCGAAGTGCTATTCATGAGGTGAGTTTTGAAGTAGTGGTGGTTGTGAATAAATCAAATTCGTTCTGATTATTGGGATTCTATTTACGATTGGTTGTGGCTTCACAGTTAACTCCGTCTAGCTGGTAATATCCCTAGGTCCTAACTTCTCGGTGACCTTCGCTTGCAATCTGCTGATAGAATACTTGCCTGCAGTTTTGTGGTCGGAAATCATTAATCAGATGGTAGAGTTATCCACTTCTGGTTGTTTGCGTGATGACTATTTCAACAGTAAAGTCTCTCAGAAGACGATTTTCTATGTCCCCTCTCCTGAGGAAGAAAACCGCATGGTTTTTTTTATCAAGAACAAAAAATTACGCGAACTCTCAATGATAACATGGGATTTGCCATTACTGTTGTAATTCTAGGACATCAGTAGTCAGTCCTGTGCATCAGTAGTTTGCAACTACTGTTTTCACCAACCGATCTTGATGTCCATATAAGAACAAAAAACGGTGAAAACCATTCTAGCATTAATACGCTTGGCAAGAGGGTTCCGTTTGGTTCAGAAAGCTGACTCATCATGTCTCCTCTTTACTGGAGTCAAACAGCCGGATGCGAATTTCGGTTTTACGTGCACTGCCAACCCTCACTGGTGCAGATTACAGCTACTTTGGTGCTTGTTTATTTTACAGGGGCGTGCAATCTATGAAACTTTGCTGGAAAAGGCAAATCAAGTAAAACTCACGGTGGCCCAAAGTGGTGCGAAAAAGGAGAACAATGAGCTAGATCAGCTGTCAGCTGCAGGTGAGTCTTCTCCTTCGTTTAGTAGTTCCCTCATGAAATGACATAGTGCGCATTGTTTTCCATTCCCGCCAAACAGAAACTACCCACAGGAGAGGCTAGCTACTGCTTTCCGTGACGACATCTCGTTGGAACGGATAGAGTTTTTCGGGTTAAAAACTGTGTGTTAAAAGCTGTGTGATAAATCTCATGTATAGTGGTTGCATTCGGCTGAAAGCTGTGTGATAAATCTCATGTATAGTGGTTATAAATGTTCCAGAAACGGTAGGGTTTGGTTTCTCGTAAGTGTCGTGACGATTAGATAGGTGATAATGTTTTACTGCGCATTGCACGGTTGACAGAGGAAGGGTAGCCTTCTGGTCAGAGATGACTTAGAAAAGTTCCACAACTGACAGGCACAAAGAACGATGGTCTATGTGGTCTTCCTGAGAATATGTGGGATCTAGTCGCGAAACGCCGAAAGTTGTAAGTTGGCGGGAGTATCATGCGTGTCGGAGATATCCGGAGTGCAGTTTCTGAGGAGAATAAGGAGGCGGTGGAGACAACCGTCCGACAATGGAACACCGCAACTGCGTACAGGTCACTGGAAGAATACAGGCGAATAGAACGCCCAGAAGTGTCACTAGGTGGGGAAATGGGTGAAGCAAGTTCTGAAGAGGAACATTTGCCAAGATAGTAAAGGTAGAATGGGTAGAGGGCTAATGCTTCTTGACCATGGAAAGCGGGTTGAAGGGATGGCGTAGCAATAAGACAAGTGAGTTGTCCTGAGATACGTTCCAAGATTGGGAGATGGGTCGAGAACCTCTCTCCTCAGAGGTAACCCCAATATTATATGGTGAAGTAAATCCGAGGTATGTAAAGAAAAATAAATTAAGCAGGCTGTAAAATACTTCGGGAAGCAGAAAAGAAATTTTGCTCTGGCCACAATTGCCGATCTTTCTAACCTAAGTTAAGCTGAAAAGGCCGTTAGTGAAGTTCAAGCATTGGTAAACGAAGGAGAGGAGAAGGAAGATTCTAGTTCGATAGAAACCGGGAGGTTCAAATTAGAGTGACAAAATACAGCGGAAAATGGAAGGATTGCATATCGCCTTGTGTACAGGACCCTGATCGCTAGATTTGTCAAGTCCGCCGATCACATTGCTGATTATCTGCGCACAACCATTCGGGGTCCAAAGAGAGATAGAGTACCAGGAGAGATGAAACGAGTAATGGTGATGCTTAGAGAATTGTTGGATGCTGGAGACAACCACAGAAATGAGATAGTCTATGCATGATAGAATAGGGTTGGGGAACAACAGGACATTGAAGAACCCCTGTGTTGATGATGCGAGCCATCCCTCCAGGGCGCACCCATATTGATTGGTCACGCTTAAAGCTTGAAGTTTGACGAATAATCCTCAGTTGTAGCTCACCTATCGGTTGTTTGGAGAGATCGGCATGTCATCTCCGATTGACGGCTTTTACGATATCAGACAAAATTACTTTCCTTTCACTAGATTTGTTCACCATGGAAGCCCAAAGCAGCCACTCCACGAAGCGACTGCATGTTAGCCCGCATCCAGTAAACTGGTGCTATCTAGGTCACGTAGTCACTCTCTGGCCGGCAAAGATCCTAGATTAGATAGGAGTTAGCTGACAGTTATCAGGTCTATGGTAGCCCTTCGTCTGAGAATAGGTGATCAATTTCCGGCATGGTGCGAAAATACTTGTAGAACTAGGGACTAGTGTATGTTCTCGGGAAAGGGAGATGATTGAAGGAACTGACGCACGCTCCGCGTTGAGATGATGGAATGTGTAGGTATAAGGACGGGTTGGGAGATTGACTGTAGCACCCTATCGGTGTCTAGCTGCCATGCCACACGAAGGAGGCACGAGGGCTGGGATACTGCCAGGTCACTAAATTCGCGCCCTAACCACTTGGTCCATCTCGCCGCCCCGGGAGATTGGGAATACCACTCAGTCATTGGCAAAGGGATAATGTCTTTCGCGAGGAATGGAAACGAAGATATCTTCGTTATCACTAATGGAAGGAAACATGGGGATGCAAAATATTATTTGACTGATTCGGCCAGGTTAAAAAACGGCTGTTTTCTTGGCACGTTTGTTATTTGGTCGGCCTTTTGGTCGAGGAATTTGGTTTTCGTGGCTCCGTGGGAGATGCCAGTAGACATGTAATCGGCGTTAGTGGATGGAGATGGATTATTTATCCGAAATCTGTACATCCGATTCTTTTTCGAGACCATTCCGGGACATAAATGGTTGAGGCACGCTCAGATGAAAGATTTCCGCGCTTCAGCACAGGGCTTTCGTGAATATGCAGGCAAAAATGGATGGGCCGTTTGAGCACCAACACCTCCTTGGACGGAAGAGGGAGAATGGGGGCTTATTTTCCAAGTTGGTTGGAGACAAGAGGATATGATTAGGTTGGTATACAAAGTGCACGTTGTGGTCTGAGCTTTCTGAGACTGGAAAAAAGTTGCTCTAGATAGTGAGCTGATGGTGAGGAAGAAGCACGGAATTTGTGGGATGTCCTCGTTACCCCCAGGAAGCGTGTGGGAAGAATCACAAAGTAGGCAAAATTGGCAAGAGAAAATGCATTTCTCCTGACCTGACCAGTAATGGTTGGATATCAAGCCATTCAAAGTCATGACACTGAATTTGCAATAAGTGCGAAGTTCAGTGGCCTAATAGGACCACACATAATGACCTAACGTCTGATAATCGGTATGGAAAAGTATCCAGACTGCATTGGTGAGCAAAGAAGACAACTGGAGGTGAAGAATAACTTGAAGCAGGAAAGGGTAAGCATGATGTGGGGGGTGGGGAGAAAATTAACTGTTAACTTGATGTGTGGGTGTAAGCGTGAACCCTTCCATTAAAAGAGGATGGTAAAATTAGAGAGAAAAAAATAGAAACCAGTTATGGACTCGTTCCAGAGATTGGCTCCCCGGTTGAAACGAGTTTGAAGGAGCAAAGGGGAAAAGGTAGTCGTAAACTTAGTCAACATTTATTGCTTGGGCTGCGTACGTTGAAGAGTGCGACCATGAAGTGAGATTAGGAACTCGTCGCTTGTTGACCATCAACCTAATCTAATAACCTGGAGTGGTGAACCACACATGACTCCTATAGTTTGGACGGTGGTACTCGGTACCCCAAAACAATATTATTTTTGTTAAATGAGCCTGATTCTGTGGATACGGCGTATCACTGTGACTAATTCCGCTAACAGAATGCCAACCAAATACATATTCATTGCTTGACCACGAACGAATTCGACTTGTTGAGTTCAGTCCATCTTGTGGCTAATGATGTCAAATCCATTTACTCTTAACATTTCAATGAACCGCACTACTTTCCTGGCATTGGTCCGGTCTGGTAAATTATTTCAACCAGTCCATCAGTCGTTCAAGTTTCCGGCTCCATTCTAGTGTTTTTGACTGTCGCATTTAGGATTGTGAACGCATACGTGTGTTCTGGGTGTTTACACAACTTAAGGTCGTCAAACCGGCCGGAAGTAATTCCGTGCTCCATGTGTGCTTGGACATTCGTGACAGTCATGATAAGAACGAAGGTAACTAACAAATAGTATATACTGTAACCTGTCTTTCACAAGTTCCTAGTACCAGAAATCATGTGCAAAAGTTATGTGAAACGCATAATCTTAAGAAGGTATGGGTACACAGATCAATTCGAGTGGTGCGAGTCCGTTGCCTGATCATGGGCCTCGGCTACACTCTACGTGATTAAACTCCACATGATTATGTAACCGTGTTTATCTGATAGTCTTGGGATAGCGATTTATGCGCACCGAATTACTTTTGCTCTTGGTTGCTCAGCTATTTAAGTGTTTTCCATCTTTCGAGACTTCACCGCTTGATTACTTTTTTTAATTCCAGGAGCGCAAGTCTATTGGGTTGACGTCGCACGCTTGCTTGGTCGAGGTGTACTTCATACAAAGCTCTGGGCGATAGATCGCAAGCATGGATATATCGGTAGCGCTAACATGGATTGGCGTTCACTCACCGAAGTAAGTTTATGCAAATACAATCTTAAAACGATCTACCATATCTCATTTCCAGCCAGTTAATTGGCCAGTAGCTGCACACCCTCAGCGTGCGTGGTCTGTTCACATGCCTAATCGCGTGACACATTTTCCGAATGTCAAGTCTTGATGAAATTTGAGACAAATGATTGACCGTTCAGTGTTTATGCTGAAGTTAGAAGCGCTTTTCATTGTAAAGTTTGGACACAGACTGATTAGTATTAACTGATATACTTTATGCACATATATGGAGTATTCGTGTATCGAAAACAAGGAATGTTGCATGCGTTGCATCTATGTATTTATCTAAACGACGCTTGCTGAGACAGAATCCAGTCAAAGGGACTGTAAGTTACATTCTCTCAGATGAATGTTACATCATGTGAATTATCCCATTCCGAAATTTTTACGCCTCAGACGGGTGAGACATCATTCACCGTAGACAGGGAGATAGTGCTGTTCTCCAGCAGAAAAGAACACACGGTTCATCGGATGCACATGTCAGTGTTACTTGCTCGTTCTCAGGGCCGAAGATATGTGTGAACTGATCGTTTTCAATAATGCTTGTTTATCTTGGGCCTGATGACTAGGTGCACACGATGCAGAACCATTGTCCAGAGAGGAAATACGTACGATCTTTTGTTGCCTGGATGAGTAGTATTCAGCTGATGTCAAACCATTATGTGACTTCCATTTGTATTTTATGCATATCACTAACCATGATCTTAGTGATGCCTGCTTTCCTGGTAGTACATCTTCAGGTTTTGGGGGACGTGAATCCATATGTCAAGGAAAAACCATAAACCGGCAGATGATTTTACACCAACCGCTGAGTAAGCTAAAAATGAGGAGGTTTGCATCAATGTAGCTACTGCTGGCGTTAGACTGTACACTCATTTAACGAATGATCAACTTCAGCCAGGTCACGAATGGTACAGTAGGTTTTTTCTATTGGACTGGACGAAGAACACGATTGATGAACTAGCGGCTTCCAGTAAATCAATTCTCTAATTGGAGTGGCTGGCCTGCTGGTGTTAGATTTCGTAGGGTAGCTGTGATCTCGTTACCAAATCTTGTTACTGGATAATCACATGCGCGCACGTGCGTATGATCGGACCAACTTCTCTCAATTTCCCCACTCAACCCACATTGAACTTTTGGGCTTTATTTGAAAGACATTGTCTTTTGAGTTACGCTAACGGAAGTAGGACACTGGAAAATTAAGTAATGAGCATTCGTTCGCCAAACACATACAAGATGAACTTCAAGCATCCTAAACGATGACCTTTGTTGAGAGGTTGTGTTATGGTGGACAGTACAAAAGACATTCATCAGGGCCTTCGAACCTTTAGAAAGGTGAGTGAGGGGATCAAGTAACTTTACCTAATATGGATATACTTAGTTGACTATGTTTTTCAAGTTAAGAACAGCTATCTCAAGCAGGATGTTTTATGGACAGTCGACGGCGCATTCCTACGTAATGTACGATTGATGTCAGGGTTACGGTGTATTAGATACCCATGATGTTCTATGGGTGATCTCTTCATATGCTGTTAAGTAAAAATCGTGCGATTCTAGAGGCTTACCGTTGGAACTTAAAACTGCTGGTTTACGAATTCCAGCGATGCGCTGCATGTTTGTTGAGTTTATAGAAACCTGGGCAGCATCGTTGATTCGTTTCTGGCCGTAACTCTCGGCCTATCCCATTTTGATTTGTTTTATTTATATTTCGATCCGCTAATCATGTTCGCTCTACGAAAACACCTGTATTTTTCACACTTCTACTTGGACGTCTTTGAACATGGTTCCAAAAATATCAGCCCACTTATTCGAGGTTTATTTCAGTCGACATTTTCTCCTGTAAGTGAAGCCAATCTGTACTAAAGGGCTAAGATATGCCGTACAGCTATTTCATCCTTGTTGGGAATCATTAACATTGCGCATGGCACCAAACTCCGGTAGGGATTCTGAAACCCGCAACCACCCGAAAAGTAGCTAGAACACTTAACCGTACGGACACAGGCTGCTGACCAGCAGTGTGATTAACTCCAACTTAGACAGGGTATAGCTGGTCGGGAGGCCGCGCGTTCGAAACTCTCTGGAGCTCCTTTAGATGTACACTGTTGACGATTCCAAATAGGGATGAAATCGCTGAACAACTGTTCTCGCTTTTACAGTGTAGACTGGATTCACCTGAAGTAATTTCAATTAAAAATTACCACATCCCTTCACACTATGATTTATTAGAGGTTTGTCCCTCATGTTTTCATGTTGCCTTGTAGTACTAAAGAGCTTTTGACAAGTGGTGAACAAATCTGTTGTCTTTTTATCGAGCATTCGAAAGTTTGATACATCGAGAAACCTCACTCCCACAAGCGAACTGATGGACCGGAATCGACAAATGTGTCACTTATGCCGATCCCCAAGTTTCCTCTCTGCCAAGCTCAGCTTACTGCTTACGACAGCTGCACAGCGGTACATCACGACCATCAACTTGTTAGTCAGCAGTATCGTGTTCATACAAACCTATTTCTCATACTTTGTTCGTTCACTTTCAGGTGAAAGAACTTGGTGGCCTACTCTTGAATTGCCCTGAACTGGTGCACGAACTGGAGAAGATTCATGGAGCTTATTGCTTAGCTACCGAGAGGATTCCTGCTCAGTGGCCGAAAGAATTGGAAACGGTATACAACCATACGAATCCTCTGGTTACTAAGATCAATGGAATTCGTTCTCGGGTCTATGTGTCTGTGAGTGAAACATCGTCTTTTCTTTGTCTTTACTCTACGGCGTGCTTACTTGGTAGTGATTCCTGACCTATTTATCTTTCATTTTCATCCATAGGGTTCACCTAGAGAATTCAACCCTCCTGGGCGCACTTACGATTTGGATGCCATCTTGTTGACTATTGCCCAGGCCAAGAAATATATTTACATATCCGTAATGGACTACAGTCCAGAGGTTGTGAGCTATGATATCGAAACGCCTAAAAAGTGAGTATATTAGTTGAAAACACTCACCATGTCCAATGAAAATAACGAAAAACGCAATCGTGAAAGGAACACGAAAAGTAGTCTATTAACGAGGACTGGGTCACCGTTATTTCTCATTTTATTACCGATTCAGTCTTGTGTAACTTTTTAAAGTGTTGTCTCTATGCTGTTCAGATACTGGCCTGCTATTGACACTGCCTTACGAGAGGCAGCAATCGATCGTGGTGTTGAAGTGCGTCTGTTGATCAGCCGATGGCCATACACAGTGCCCACAATGTTCAAATACCTATCATCCCTCAGAGCACTCAACGGCATTGGAGGATCTCAGCTTCGTGTGGTGAGTTTATTTTGAAAAGGTGTCATGTGCATTGTATGTCATCGGACCTGTAAGTGCTTCACCAGCTCCTGTTCTCACTGTTATCATCACAGGATACCAACCGGAGCTTTTGATTTCCGTTTTAGCCACGTCTGAGGATGTTCACAGGAAATTTATCCGGCTTACTCACAGCGTCATCCATTATCCTTCAGAAGTAATTTGGGTTCAGTTCACACTGGTGTTTCTGATATAAACTAAGTGATCTGATGATGCGCGGCTTGATGTACGCTTGCGCCATGCTGCTGAAGAAGTTAATTACACCGGTTCTGTCGGATGAAGGTCGGTGGTTTTTATTTTTTGTGCAAAACGAGTACCAGTTCGGATTCGTGAGACCTCGGTACTGACAGTTCTGTATAAATATGCAGTAGCTTACGGGTTTTCTCGATTTTTAGCATAAAGCGTGGCGTATTCAGTGGCTAGTGTAAATGCATGCATCAAACGTATCCCATGATGACTAGATTAGACACGTTGATTCCCGAACGACTGCTCTAAAGTGAAAGGAAGGGATGGCCACAGATAAACAAACACTGACTTTATCCGCGTGTTTAAGAAATCATGTCTGAGCAGTCGTGTTTCAACAAAAATCACACGAGATTGTTACAGTAGTTCACTCAGTCGCGTTTTCTTCGGAATACATTTTCTGTAAGAACTCCATTATAACGCGCAGGTATATGTAGAAATCCATGAAGTCTATAAAGCTTCTTCTGGACTATTTAAAGTCTAGAAGATGATTGAATCACTGGACTTGATATCAACCATTTTTTTCTGCGCACATTACCCTTTCAAAATGGTATGAAGTCATCTCCCTGAGTTCAGAATTTTTTGAGATCCCTTATTTCAAATCTTTGATCCAAAACACGCAGTTGTACATTCGGTGCATTGAGTTTGAGCAAATAAAAAATGCGCCTTAGTTACAAACCCAAATCACATTGAAATCCTGTCGTAGTGCCGACAAACCAAATCGCGGTAATGTCCGACACCTTGCAGTGCTTGAATGCTCCGAAAACCACTCCATGCGTAATTCTTGACCCATCTGGCGTTGAACGCCATGCTCTTGTCCGCGGCCATATATACAACTGGTCGATTCCGTGAGTTGCCGTGATCGGATCAAAAGTTAGCTTCTCATTTTCTTATTAATAGAGGCCTGTGAACTTATGGTCCATTCGGCTAATCATGCCATGTTCTTCGTTCTGAGCTTGGACATCTTGATCTTCCTGAGCATCGCAAGTTTAGAAGGAGTGCAGTACCTTCTCTATTTTCTTTCTGTGGACGTATATTTTAGCCTAATTGTGGTACCTATCCGTCTTGTAATGTGCTATCCGTGGTAGTCTCCTACTTCCTCAGATATCCTGCTCACGCCACGATGACTTAAACCTGAACCATTCTTGAAGCAACTGAATACAGATGTAGTACTTCCCAACTTTTTCTTCTCCCCTAGGAGATTCCCTTATAAATTGGGTCAGCTGATTCCGGTTCATTCTTCCATAAGGCTGAATAACGAAATGCCCCCGAAAGTACTGAGAAGTTTCGAAAGCTGTAGCTCTAAAGCTCTCCAATGGCAGCTCTCTTTTTTAGAAACCAAAGGGCTTGGACACTGTCATTAAAATTGATTTATACCTAAATCTGGCAATGCAAGGTGTTCGAGCATCATGTTTGGCTCTGCGTTTTACCCCCGGTTCCATTTGTGCTAGTGACTAATGGGATGAACGACTGAACTTACGGTAAAGTGGTGTGGCCAACAACATGAGGGCGAACATCTGTTTCTCTGGGGTTGCAAAAGTTTCCCCCAGAGTCAGCGTGAACTTTTGTTTACTGGATAACCTTTGTGGCAAAACGATAAACGTGGTGCAACTATTTGAACAAACAAAAAACCCAACATGTTTGCTTGAAAATAAGGCTTTGTGACGGGTGTGGAAAACTCCCCCCCTTGGTTATGGTGAATTCTCCTCTGTGGTTGCACCGATGGTAATGTTTCAGCACCATATTTCCGATGCTAATATGATCATTGTGACCATTCTTTTCATATGTATCAGTCAAATCCTCGTCAGGGGCTTTGACTTTTATATTCTTCCCTCTATTGGCATTCACATACATCTTCAGGTTTCCTAAGATGACAACAATTTTGTCCAGCTTTTTAACTAACCGTTTTAAGAATATATATTCAGTGGTTGTTCCACAGGTTGATTTTGGTTGGTTTTCATTTTTGCACGAGAATATCTACTTAGATACTGGTTGGGTTGGTTTTGGGTAATCTTTAAAGGCCTGACCTGTTGAATCGACAGTAGTTTCTGTATGTCAAAAAATGGACTTATTCCGGGGTCTTCCGCCTAGTATTTTTGCATTCTTCTGAAAAGAATCTCTGCTTCACAAATGCGAAATTGGGAGTCGACTGATTGCCGACTAGAGACAACAGAGATTCCCAACAGATGACTTTCTATTGAGGCCTAAAAACAAGCTTACAGGCAGTTTGGTGGTTGTGGCAAGTTTACTGGATTCTTGTTATTTAACCTATGTCTGCCAGCGGTTCGTGTGGATGCGCATTTCAGATTTCTGTGCCATCCTAAGTAAACGCGCGGTTTTGAAAGGGCTATACGGTGATTCACCGTGTGTTAATTGAAGTATGGTGCCTGTTGCTGTACAAGCCTGTTGTACCCAAACCTTACCGCATGCATACGGTTTCAAATATTTAGTATTACCTACCCTGATGTGACCCTTCCGTGTTTGGTTATCACTCACTGTCCCTCGAAAGAGTGGTGAGACTGATCTTGCATTCTCTAGGTTCTTGTTAATCTGCACATTTGTTTCCGCGTAATATGATAACTGAAATACTGAAGATCTTTAAAACTCCGGCGTTCAGATAGCTGTTGACGAAAACCTTGCCCATCTAGAATATACAGACGCCATTTTTCCTGTCCTCACGCAGGAGAAGCGCGCTCATTTTTGGAAGAGTTGACTAAATTCTTCACGTTCTTTAACATGCGATCAGCACTCACAAAATGAAGTCCAAGCTTCTGGTCATGCAGTCACTGGACACGCCACTTACAATCCAGGGAAAGGTACTCAAAGTTGTAGAGCGTCTAACGTATTTTGGAAGTTTTATCAGTTCCGATTGTAGTATAGCAGGTGAGGTCAGTGCACGAATCTGCGAGGCTCGGGTCACATTTGCCTCTTTGAGACACCTATGGCATCAAAGCGGTATACCCATGAATCTCAATGGACGTGTGCATGAGGTTACAGTACAGGTTGTTTTGTTGTATGGCTGTGAGAGACTTGGCCTGTCTGTGCAGCTGGACTGAGACGTCTTCAGGTCTCCAGGTCTCTTCCAGGTCTTCTCAGAATTATAGCTCTTTAGGCTGATGAGGGCGAATTCGCAACCAGACCAATGGAAAACAAGTGTTTGGTTTTGCAACAGAAACTTCAATCAAAGAATATGTCCAGCACCAAAAGTTGTGGTCGTTTGACCGTTTATTGCGCACGCCTGACCGTAGTTAGCCAAAGATGGTGCTGCTTTGCGTGCCCTCTTTGTAGGGGCGCAAGCGGAGAGGTGGTCAACATTCGACATGGCAAAGAGGGTGCTGTCGATATAACACGCTTCCTGAGATGGGGTTCCATTGATCCCCCATCGTGTGCATGTCTGGAAGCGTTGTAAGATATGGCTGCTAAATGGTGTCAATCGCAGTGTGTCTGAATAAGTGTTTGGAAGTGTCTGCATCTCGGACTGATTGTGGCAGACCAGTACGGAAGGATTTTCATATCGAATTTTATTACTCGTTTCACAATAAGTCCTTCAAATAATTTACTGTTTTCAGGCGGCGATGGTGATGACACCCGATCGAAGAATTTTCACTGGTGCAAGTTTATGCGTATTTTGGTGTCTGACCTAGTCGAAAAACAGACTCAAATCCTATAATCTCAAAAAATCGCTTAGTTAGCCGGTTTTGAGATGTGATCCAATGTGTTTAAAGATGTGGAGGACGTATATCATCAGTCTCGCACAGTTACACGATACTTTCACCAGTTAAGCAGCTTCAAGTATATTAACAGAAGCATAGGTAAAACTAATTGACATATCCATCATGACCCACGAAAAACTGACCCATGAAAAACTGGTTGAAGAGGTGCGATGCTGGGGATTTCACTCGGGGACTCGACGAGTGTTACGTACGGATGAGTGAATTGTGAACAAATCCACATCGCAGGATGGCGTGAATCTTAGCGTGTAAGAATTGCTTTCATTCATTGGACGAACTTGGTGGGGTTGAACTGATGCGCAAACTTTATTATGATTGCCAGCCACCTCCTATATGGTAACTTGTCTGGGACAATCGGCTCTGGGAGTATGTGGTCCGCCAAAGCACGAGAACTCGAGTGGCACGTTGTTACAGATCTGCCGCCAGCACCAACTGCATTGAAATGTCGCTCGGCTTCATTAACGTTCTACCCACATTCGCCATACGATAGCGTTATTCGCGTGTGTCCATAGAGTCGAATTTGGATGGATCTAGGCTAAGAAACGGAAGTCTCCTCAATTTACAGTACCATACATTTGCAGTCTGGATTCTTTGGTTGCACGCAAGTGATATTCCCATATGTATCGATCGTTCGACCAGTCGGCCCAGCTAAGTGAATGACCAAACCAGCTGTTTCCCGTCCCTTTCAAAATACAAAGAGATGCAGACCACGTTCGCTCTCCACTTTATTTAGCCACGATTGAGAGGCTACGCTTACTACTGTAAAATACGAAATGCCTCGCAGAGTGTGATGTCAATATTTCATCCGTCCTCTTACAACATTTTGCACTGGAAGCGTACGTCTATTCATCACAGTTATTGATTGGGCGAGTATGGGAGAAAATGTCCATGTTGTGCGGCTATTTTCGTGCTAACAGATCTTGTTCTGAAATAGCTATGATAAGTTTGACCATGGAGATAGTCCCTCCACAATAGCCCAAAGGTCTGTCGAGTTATACTTGGCACTGTGACACTGAAGTGGCACCGGCTACTTGGAGATGATAAGAAAGAGGTAGCGACAACAATGTGGGAAATTACTTGTCCAAATCTACATCCACATCTCCTGTCCTGGCAGAATCATTCTGGCGAGTCCACACCTAACAATGATGACTCGAGTTTTGTCCTTATTAGAGCTCATCAGCAGTGCATACCCTTGACCGTATCAGGGTTTTAAATCTGGACGTCTGAAAGGCGCGGCAAGACCTTTACCACTAGCCCACCAGCACAGGTTGAACGCGCTTAAATTATTGAATCTAAAAAGTCGAACGCGTATAATGAGCCTGGTTTGCCCGACGGCCCGAACGACGACCCAGTAGCCTTCCTGGCTATGTTGTTCGATTGAGCTGCCTCTAAGCTCTTCCCAGTCAGCTAGCACCACGGACACTTGAAACCTGCTGCAAAAATTTTGATCAGATTTATGCAATTGAGGGATTGTAGAATTCACACGCTCGCATGTGGTTTCCGGGGACCGGTCGCACGAACCAACTGAAATAATCTTCGGGCATTCCGGGCTTTCTAAGCATCTTCCATTCTCTTGGCTGTTCGTATTCACTAGATTTCACGGTGGGTGAGCGCGCTCACTTTCACTTGACGTCTGATGTTTCGTTGGGTCAGGCTATGTTCGGAACTGGTGGGGATATTTCTCCGAGTTTCAAGCAGTGCCACTCTCTGGTCTGATATCCAGTGCTTGAGTGGGACTGGTAGCGCTGTGCCACGGGCGAAATTCCCAGCACTGTGAGAAGAGGTGGCAAACTCGTCCCGGGATGGATCCACATCTGATTGCGGAACAGTTGGAAGAGACCCTAGAAGAAGATTCTGGTAAATTCATCCAACATCCGGATCTGCCACTCTCAGTTACTAAGCTAGTAGTGTGCACCTTACACGGCCCTGGAAAACAAAAGTAGAGGCGATTTCAGGCGGGCATGTGGTCGGAATCCACAAACGTGTCTGAGAGCCAGCGGAAGTCACTTATTGATCCGCGCCATCAGTAACTGATGGTAATTAAATCGATTTCAGCTCGTTACCGCCACCCTCTTGGAAGACACTATGTGGCCAGACGACTTCGGCTATTGCCGAAGTTGGTACTGCACAAAAACAGCCTGCGGTCAGCACATAGTTGAAGCAATCGTTCGCCATCATCTGCACGTACCGAGTCCAACCTATGTTGACCACTTAATTGAATCTCAAATGCTTTAAGCATGCCCATTTGTGCATTCAAATCTCCAGTAACCACGATGTCTGAGCTTTTGGGCTCGCTGCAGCAGGGTATTCCGAGTGTCACAATACTTGTCTTTGATGGTGTCAGACCTACAGTCATTTGGGGCGTAAGAAGACAACAAACAAACATCGATCCAATTCCCCCTGGTGGGGCTACTACACATCGCTGTCAGGTGAGCCATACAGAGGCGACTATCAATGGGTATGCAGTCAAGAAAGACACCTTCTGCCCGGTGACTTAGGATGTTACCAACCTCTGCACAGTCTGCCGCAGCGACCTGTGGATTGCCAGAAGTGCGCAGTAGGAAACGCGTGGAGACTGATGGGGCGGTTAGCGCAACCACTGCTTGAATCTTGAATTCTCGTCTCTGATACACAACGCACATCAATGCCAATGTGAGAGCAAGAACAGCTTGTTGCTTCAGAGTGTGAACGTTGAATGCAGCCAGTTGGACTGGGTGTCGAGATTTGAAGTTTGACATCGAGATGTCTGAGAATATTGGCCCTTTGCTTGCAAAACCGATATAGGACGAGCGGCGTCACCATTTCTAACTTACGCGCATACAAGGAGAGAATTAATAATAGGGTGGGGAGAAGGGGAAGAAAAAGCATGTAAATGAGAAAGAAGAGAGGAGTCAGCAATAGTCTGTTTTCGTTTACCAGCTGTGCTGTGTGCAGCAAGTTAGGCGGCCCGGCTCATGGCCCCCCGCGACGGCCGATGTGGCATGAGAATACGGTTAGTTGTGTCATGGTTGTACGTGGACTATGATACCGCCAGGGTGCACTGACCTAGACAGGAGAACGACTAGGGTTCTCAACCAAAGCCTTTCGCTCGAAATCCTGACGGCAAGATAGCGGCGTTTGCCGGAAAATGCAAATGCCCTCCAATTTTTATAGAACAATTCGCCATACATATTCCAACCCCAAACCTAGGGGGCCAGGGAACTGCTTGCCAGACCTCTAGACACTGACCGACCTGGTATGAGAGACCTGGCCAGCGTTGAGCGGACAACCCCCATTATATCTCATTGGGTCGCGGAGGTACACAAACCATCACACCATGGTAAGGTCCCGTCTCTTCTTGACGCCAGGATAGGAGGACGACTGTTCAACTAAGAGTGACGTGGACGTGAATTTTACACATTCTCCAACCACCTACAATGAACAAGGTCATTAGGTGACAAGTGAGTTTTTCCCAATCCTACCTAAGTTTGGTAACAATAACCAATGGAAGGGAGGGAATAGCTTCAGTAATCAACGAAACCGGTGGCTTCGTGTGCGAATTTCGTAATGTAAATTTTGTGTCTCCGAAGCAGGCTATTCACTAACTGCTTCGCTGCAGCAGGCATGGTGCTCAATGTCTAGAAAGAGCATATGGCTGCATTCGCCAAGAGGTACGCTATACATGACATTGACTTCGATAAAATTGACGTTCACCCTTCCCTCCACCAAAAAAAGATGAACATATAACCGGTTGGTGGAGTGGAGAGACACTAAAGCGAAGTCTGCACTTTTGAATAACTGCGGTTGCGTTCTTAAATCGCACTGATACACGCAAGGTGGATTATTCTGCACCGAAAGTAAACCAAATATGCACGATATTAGATAAATATGATATGCTATGTAAAAGTTTATTGCATGCAAGGTATGCCAGCGCCTGATAATTACTCCATTCCAAATAGATTATGCATCTTTACTAAGTAAGATTCGGTTATTGTGATAATCCGAACATGGAAAAATGTCAAGGCACAGATAAATCTGATTGGTTCCATTCAGATTTGACTCTTGACTGTACAGAATACTGGTGTGCATGTCTGCTAAGTGAAAGCCTGTTCTCATACAGGTATACTAGTTAACGTGTGCATCAACTTTCTTAGTCCGAAGGATATGTGCTTAACACCATGACGATGTTATCTTCGCAGCGGTCAGATATGCGGACAACAAACAAATCCGACATCGATACACGTTGCACGCTGTCGAAGACATCAGCGATTATGCGATTCCTAAGTGGATAACTCAAATTAGAGGGATGTGAGACGGCGGATTATAAAGGTGGATGAACTGATTCTAAGACCACAGAAAAGGTCGCACAATACCTGTTCCAGTCAATGGGATTTTGTGAAAAGCTGGTTATTTTGGTCGCAATTAGCAGTGAATGTTCGGTGCCGATTGTGAGGCTCAAACACAGAGAAATCTTGAAATGCAAACAAACAACAGGTTTTGTTCAGAACGAGTTCTTCGTGTCAGGGTCTGCTCATCTGTCACATAAATATAGAAGTTTCGCTGGTTCCTTTTAATATGGTCTTCTGTTCCAGAAGGGACCACTTTATCCATGTCTCACAAACTGTTTCACTCTTTTTGGAAACAAACTTTCGTACCTCAACCACTTGCTTATCCTCCTAACATCACGGATAGCTGAATTGAATGGTTCGTCCGCCCGACTGCCTCCGAGAAACTACTTTTACAGGTATCATTCACGTGCCACTTGTAAATGATATAATTTATTACCGAATAGGCGAAAATCTCTAATGGGTCGCTACGCCTAATGAACCGTACAATAGGCTTAAGGTTCTAACTGTGTTTTAGTCAAGCCAGGACGGTTTCGTAGCATCCGGTAGCAAGTTTTAAGGTATTAGGTATTAAGGTATAGATTTACTGGGATACAACTATTCACAGTAGATCGCTTTACAAGGAGCGACAAGCATTGGTTTATTGATGACAACGTTCAATGCGACTGACATATACCCAATCGATTCAGCTATCCATTTCCTATGAACGAAGGCGTTTTGGGGTTTAGGATGAACGATACAATTGAAACACTTTGGGTTAACCTCTGCATTCTTACATTCATACTTTAAGCGCTACTTCGTGGTTCCCTCCTTCACTGACGAACAAATCATGATTCCTCATGCCAGAGTGAATCACAACAAATATATGGTGACAGAGAAAACAGCTTATATAGGTGAGTTCCGATTTTCCGTAGGTTTTTTATTGTGGATTTTGTGTCTTAATTCTTCCGGTTTTGCACACTAAGGTGTAGCGAGCTTTCTTGTTCACTAGTTGGGCGAAATTGTGGGTGACTTACAAAAGGAAAACCTTGCTCACTATTTTCCGTAGGGAATATATCAATGTGATATTTTAAAAACGGTTTTTTTACTCATAGACAGTTTTATTTTCCTGAGTTCCGTAGGTTACATCCATTCAAGTTGTATTAAACGCACAGCACCGCTTTCAACACTGGGTCTTCTGAAGTCTGGTACTGATTTCCTGATCGGTGAAAATTAGTCACAGAATGGTGGTTTGCAATTCCGATAGGTTCATTTTTAACTTAGTTCCTGTTACCGTTTTTGTTCTAGGCACATCCAACTGGTCAGGTGACTATTTCCTGTATACAGGTGGTGCTGGGCTCGTTGTAGAAGAGGACACTGTGGACAATTCGTTTACCGATAGCATCTGCGATGGAAACAAGCCCAAGACGTTGCAAGCTCAATTGACTGATATCTTTTACCGAGATTGGAATTCGGAATACTCCTATGAAGAATAGATGTCTTTTGATTTTACACTATTCAGAGTGTAATCCCGTCCTTCATATGTTTGTTGTATTGGTGTGATTTTCTGTAGTCAGTCCAGTCCTGTTTGTACAAAAATTTGTCGAGTAATTTCTGGTCTCACGTTGCTCATAAGTCACAGGGTTTGAAAAAGTACGTTTGATCAACCACTTTGTTACCTCAAGTAGGGGGAAATCTATTGGTGTTGTCGTTTTATAGGTCACACGTGCTACGCACCAGTGTCCGGATGTGTTTGGTCAATTAGGTAGCTAAATCTACCAGTCTACGCATAGAAATCACTCAAACGCTGCCCTAAATAATGGTGTGGTGGAACCCTTTATTAATTATAGGTTTGGGAGATTTTAGAATGATGCGACTAAAATGGATAGACTCATTCGAGAAGGAATCTTGATGAAACAAGCTTTTGAATGGCTCGGCTATACTCTGCGACTATTCTTCCTCAGCCTCACACCGTCAAACAGCTGTTCTGGCAGTAATATCTGTCGTCACACCGAAAAAACCACCGTCGACCCCGTAATACTACGGAAGTATTTTAATGGCGATGATGTGTAGGTAGGAAGGGTTATATGAATGGAACCTAGAGTGGTCATTCCATCTAATTTCAAGCATTGAATCCATGGCCAATTAACGTGTTTCACTCAAGACACCATTACACAAGTTTAACAAATATTTGCATCCCTGGCGAGCTTGACAATACCCATCGGGGAACAAATTCCTGCAACTGCTCGTCCGAAATAAACTGTCCGTTAAAATCCTAGGCGAATCAAGTTATTGCTACCGCCAGGTACTAATACCCACTGTGAATTCTTCTTCTATGACCACACAACTACAAATAACCTTGCCCGTACCAGCATTGAGATTCCAGCCTCGAAGACTTGAGCCTTCTTCCACTCATGATGCCTCAGTCCATCTACAGTTGTGGTGACTAGTTGGCAGGACAGAGCACCGTCTTTTAGGGAATGATCTTGTGTGTTGCGCCATTTTGACTGCTCGATCCAATAACAATCATGTAGTTGTCAGTTCGAAGCCCATCAGCGCGGTTTACGAGACACCTCATCCATGCAGTTGAATCCAGCATCATTCGGACTTCTGTTAAGAAGTCAAGCATCCCGCATGGTAACACTGGAGGATGCCCCACTGATACAGATGAAGCAGCAATTTTCTTATGCGCAAAGATACCGATCCCCAGATTATCTGTATCCTAGTACCGATCTCGGATTTCTCGCCTGTTATTTGGATACATTCTTGTCTCGCCCTGTGGAATCTCTAGAATTCTGAGACAGAGTTTTTACACACAATAATGGAAGCAGCCCAGCAGCTGAACACAACGGATTTCATTTTGGATAATCAGTGGCTCGCATTGCTGATAGGCTGAGCCAAAATTACACACGTATTGCGCTCTGCGGCTAAGCATGTGGTGCTTATTCACATTCATTTGTGTCACCACACTGAATTTCTCAGTGTGTTAAAGCAGTTCGGTTGGTTTTGGTTTATAGGTTTTTTCTAGTTTTTCTATCCTTCGGGGGAGTGCAAGTACAGCTCCTTTATCCCAACTGCTTTCGTTATATGCGAGCTGTTTTCTCGGATACTACTAAGCTTGCATGTTGGGACTATGTGACCCAGTTTAACGCCTAAATCGAGGTAATCGAAGAGGCAGGTTAGTCAGATAATGCCCATGTTAAGTGTGGGAATACCAAACTGCTCTTAAAGGAGGAGCTCTATGAGGACAGAATTGTTTTTATTTTGAGTTCCGTCTCTCGGGAAGGGGGTCAATTCTCAAAAATCATGGAGTAAGATCACTTACAGTTGCTTCGTATGCGATATCTTTCTTGAACTTTCTCGCACTATTTGCGACGCAAGTTCTCTAATTGTGTTCACATCTTGCTAACGCATACGTGACTTCTAGCGCGGCAAACTCACCGCATTTGAAGCTGTCCAGATAAGTAAACCGGTCGAAAAGTCCAGGTTTCTCTCCCTGAAGCTTCAGGGTGATACAGCGAGATTCGGGATCCATTAGAAATATCTTGCGTTTTGAAGGTGAAAAATGCACACCGAATTCAAGGCCCACATCCTAGATTCTGTCTACGGTGGACTATGCAAAATGCGACTGAGATTACATTGGAACGCTTCGTGATGTATATAAAGGTAATTAATTTTCTGTAAAATGTCTCACTGAGTCAACGCTACTGTCCGCTGGTGCACTGACAGAAAATATGAAAAAAAGCTATCAATATTTCGACCGGTGCGATTCCCTATGGAAGTGGACAGACCAAAGTCGCAATTGCCACTGTTTGAAGGTATCAAACCGAACAGTGAAGACTCAGCCAGGGAGCTGAAAACTCTACCAAAACCGGTGTAACCAGTTCGGATTGATGTAGATCACCTGAAGTTTGTTGTCGACGGCAAAATCGTCGTAAACTCAATTGCTGTGCTTTGGTCTTGTATTCAGAACACTAAAATGCATCAGAGTGCACACATTGGTAGCTCCTTAACCATCTTGCTGAAGTTTTCGGACACCAAACGCTGTGAGACTTCGCATCTCAATCGGTTCTGCTGATGTTTGTAGCGTACGCCCAATTCCTTTGGCTACCACTGACATCTTCCTTCCGCTGGGTTTCAATACGATACCATGTCATGATGAGACTTGGCGTAGAACTCCAGAAACAGTATTATTCAAATGTCGTTTTCTTCTCTGGGTGATCCGCTTCGCCCACAACCAGTGGCTTTCATTTGTCTCTTTTGTGTTGCATCTTTCACCTGTTATGATACACGGCTCAACTTAACCCTTTTATCGGGTTCAGTTAAGCTCTACGAGAATTCGAACAATAAGTTCGTGAGGAGTGTCTTCTATTGAGGGGTTCTGTTAGGTGGGTCTCGTTGTGACTGTTGTTTTGGCAACCTGTTCATACGAACAGGGATAACCCCTACACCGTCTTCAGCTCTTTTCTTCCGCGCACCATCCCTCCTCGCAACATGGCAGGTTGTTACCGTGCTCTGACAAGCAAAGCTCAAACTTTCACCTATCCGGGCAATTGGGCGCTGCGGAACCTACTTCAAACAGTTGAGTGAATGGTCAGAAACCTATCAAATCTTTCTGTTACTCTGGTGGCCCAGGGCCTGGCCTTTGTATTCTCCACTTAAGTGAAGTTTTTTAACCTAGTGTCAGCTGCATGACATGCTTCCCCCAAACCCGACATCTAACCACAACACCAAGTGCTCATCGAGTGCTCAGCGAAAAGGAGTCATAGTAAATGACTCGATAAGACTGAATTGCTGGGTCAGCTATGTACAGTTAGCTTGAAAGTAAGTAAATGCTAGGCAGCACGCGTTTGTAAACATTGCACATAACATCCTGGCTATGACTTGTTGTTTGAAAAGATAAAATGTATGACATTATGTAGTGGCTCAGAGTTTGGGTGTGGATAAAAATGTCATCATTCACTGTGTTACGGGCGTGTTGAGAAACTATATGCCGGTGGCCCAAATACTAAACATAGTGCTCCTCTCCCGACTAGCACTTCCACCAACGAGAAACACCACCAATTTTTTTGGGAAAGGTGGATTTTTTCAGGACAACCTCCCCCGATGAAGCAAGCATCCGAGGACTGAAGATGAGAGACCTTTAGGTTTCCTACACGGTTTATTCACTCATCAAGATGAGACACCACAACAAAGATGCAACACGCCAGTTTCCCAGATTTATGAATCGACTACTTGAAACTGATAATTTTATTCTCCTTTCTGGATTTTGGCAAGGCTGCAACCTGTTTTGATGTTTATGGTCCACATGAAACCTTCGGATGTCCTGGAAAACTAAAAAATTTAACATTAAAGCCAAGCTAGGAGTCTGTATAAAAGAACTGAGATCGGATACTTCATTGCAGCAGGCAAAATAATCGTCTTGTGCTCACAAAATTATGCTTTCCTAGTACGAAATTTGATGCCCCTCAGAAAGGCACTCTTAGTTCCGCGTTTCAGTATCCACAGTTGAGTTCACTTGTTCAGAAACTCTCAGACTTCCGAACAAGTAAAATGACACTTCCCTGTAGCGGCTAACTAGGGCTATTACAACAATTAGCGGTTTCACGTTGCATGCACTTCATGACGTTTCTTCTGTGTCCTGGTGCCCATTCAAACCTGATGTCCTTTCATCACGTTGTGCCTTAAGACACAATTTTGAGTGCTAGTTTGCTTTACGCTGGCACTCAGATGTTCTTCACTGTTGACTTTCTTCAACACATTGGCCCTCACAATCGCTACTCACTTTGCTTGATCGAAAAAGGTAGCTCAAACTCTACCCACCATGATCCCATGGTCTGTCGTTTTTTCGCCTCATCTCCTTCTACAATGATTTCTTTTTTCCGGAGTCTCCTGCCTGAATTGATCCAGCCAGTGCAGGCATAGTTTGAACCGTCTACCATTCCAACATTCATTTGATGCCCAAATATATTGACTTGCGTTTGTTATGACCAAGTGCTTTCAGCTTTCGTGATCAGCTGCCACTGTCACATACCACGTCAAAGAACCCTTTTGAAAGTATATCTGTTTTAGAGGGTACTTGATGTTTTAACATTTCCCCCAGCAAATCCCCTCGTGGTAATTATGGCATCCAAAACCAATACTATCCAATGACTCCTACAGCATTGGTAGTACCTGGAAATCCAAAAATACTGTGACGGCTGACAGGTAAATAAGTGGTTGATCAGAACTAGGCAGGAATGAACCAAGAGGAAAAAGTCTAACGTACCTAACAAACACAAAGGGACGACAGAAGGCAAACACAGCTCACGAACCGACCACTGGAGCTCCGATTAGAAGGACTTATGTGTAGCCTAACAAGTTAAATATGAACACACTCCTTAAATAATACATAAACCCAAGTAAAGAAATGTGAAACTATCCACACAACCGCATGCTAATGTTGTCTACTCCAACGGTGGCGGAACGTTTGCAAGTCATTTCGCAAGCCTGGCGAAGAGTTCACCATCAGCCGCTCAACCATCAATGTATGACACAGCGAAGACAGAATGACAGGTCCGATCTGGTAAAAAAAATTCACCCATTTAACACCGCACTTTGTGTACCTCTAAAAGATCCTAGTCTTTGGCCGTTTT